CCATAGTAAATTGGTAACTAGAGGAATCATTAATCTTAGAGATCTGAGGGATAATAATAATCTGACAATGCCTTTGCACTACACCGCATTGTTTCAAAAATGTTTCACGTTCAATGCTGTGAGGTTATACAACTCAAACGACCCTGCCTGGAGAAGCAAAAGTGTAGTCACGTTCAGGAAGCTGGTTAAAAATCAGCTGTTAGATGTATCATAATTAGTTGTTATTATCTTTGTTTTTTTCTGTTTTCATCCGTTCAGTATTGGTTCTTGTCTGGTTCCTTTTTGGTAAGACAATAGGGTCAAGTGGTGCAAAAACGAGACGATTTTTAAATCTTTTAATTTTTTGTCAACAAAAAACCGGACTTTAAGGCTTTTTTATATTGCCCTGTATATAGAAAGCCATGTTAAAAAAGTTCATAATATTCATAATGAAGGGCGTTCCTGTTAAAAAACCGTGTCTCGTTTTTAACCACTATTTAGGCTAAAAATGAGACAGTGAGAAGTTAAAAACAAGACACTGTATTTTCTGGATTTTTAGTCATTTTACATCAGTGTGGCAAGGGTTTTATAAGCGTTTAGTAAGTCAAATAACATAGTTAGGTTTTAAATTGTGAAAACGTTCTTAAAGAAAACTCACATAATTAAATACAAAACCATGTTTATTAAACTAAAAAGAAAACAAATCCAAAAACAAGTTAAATAAGGCACACCTAATTCAAAAAAGGGGTAAAAGAAGATTTTCAATAGGATTTTAAGAGCTAAAGTAGAAAACTTATTATTCTAACGTATTTTGTACTACATAGTATTGAACGACGTATTTTTCAAAGTCGATAGGAAACCAATATTGCTGAGAGATACGACAGGTCTTACTTTCTATTTCTGGCTGGGGAAGTTTCATTTCTATGTCACTTTTGTTGATGAAGTACTTTTCCTCAATGGCCGGAAAAATAAATTTAAATCCTTTGAGCCTCAGATATTTTACTTCTACATCGCTCTCTAAAACTTTAAGGATTTGTGACACGTAGTAAACTTGCGTTTTTTGCGTATTTTTTACTTAGTCTATTGCGCTTACAAAAATTTTTAAACCAATCTTTCCCGGGCTTTCCTCCCTTAAACTGGGTAGTGAGGTGGTTTTCTTGTACATAGGTTTGAACTATTGCTTGTATCTCTGGTTTAGTGAGAGCAAACCCCCATTCTGCCATAATTTTTATCTTATCACTTAAGTCTACTTCCATTTCTTTGGTTAGAGAAGTTTTTCTTCCCTGTTTACCAAGTGAACGAGTACGTCTTCACGAAAGAGCAGATTTGTCAATTTTAAACTGTTTAGCTGCATCTCTAAGAGATAAAGTGCCATTATCTATTAGTTTTAGGGCTGTCTCCATGTTCTGTTTGTCGTAGGGGCGCTTTTTGGGAACGTAAACCTTCGGCATTATTATCAAAGGTATAAAAGCTGTGTTGCTAATAATGACATTTATTATTATTATTAAAGTTAAAACTACCTGCGTTTAATCAACCACTGGATTCATGGAATATGTCTCTCTAATCTGCAGAAAAAGGTTCAATCTAGCAAAATATTGTTTTCACAAACAATACTGCGGTTCTTAGGTAAAAAGGCAGTAAAATTCATTTTTTATTAGCTGTATTGGGCAGTATTATGGAAGCAAAAGTTTAACTGATTAGAGATTCCAATGTTGATGTCGAATGAAAATGAGTCTGAAAGACTTTGAACTAACTAACTACTCATTCGGATGCCCACACAAGCACATATTTGCAGGGGACCTTCCTATACGCAATGCAGATAATATTACAGCAGTTATTTGAAATAATTTAAAATTTATGTCGAGATATGCTTCATGGAAATGGACGAATAAATATAAATTACCCTAATAAAACGTGTAACTAACGGGGCAGGGATGAACTGTGGAATGTAATATATACGTTTTTGCGTAGCATCATATTTCTTTCAATCTTCTGGTGGATAAAAAGGGAACCAAAAACAATACGTTATAATTATCTCCCCCTTCAGGCTCAAAGAAACGTGAAACGATTTCACAATGACCTATAAAAAATGGCCTCAAGTTGGTTGACTCATCACTTCCCACGCAGCGCCTCTAAAGAAAAATACGGACATTTATAACAAAGAAATTAAACAGACCAAGGCCGTCAAGCACGTCCGCAGAATGAGGCCATAACATTATTTACCTGCTCTACCCGTAGTTTGAAGAAAAATAATTCCTGCAGACCATACTATGTGATTTAAGCAAGACATTCGACTGTGTATCACATACCGCCTTCAATTAATTTGGACATGTTTGGTCAGTACCTTGAAGCTTTGGAAGTATTTAACAATGCATTCAGTAAATGTAAAATAATTGTTGCTGGTGACTTCAATGTCGCATCATTCAACAGTGACGTTAATGATCAGAAGTCTCAATTAATGAGCAACTTTATTTCGTTTCTAGATTTAACTAATTTTAATAATATTCCAAATATAAATGGTCGAATACTGGATTTAATTTTAGGAAATATCGAAATAGAAGTCCTCAGAGATAATACACCTTCTGTTAAAGAGGACGTTGAACATCCTGCACTGATCATGGGATTCATTACATCCGAATCTCCAACGAAATTCCCATTTGCTAATTCTCCGCGGTTTAACTTTCGCAAAGCTAACTTTCCTGAAATGTACACAGGCCTTGCAAGATGTTAATTGGACGGAGGTGATCAGTGCAGTTAATGTTGATGTCGCTTGTACCGCCTTGTATACAGTTATCAATAACATCTTTGAGGTCCATGTCCCTAAATGTAAAAATAAAATGTTTTCGTGTCCCCTATGGTTCACACGTGAAATTATACTTAATATCAAGAAGAAGGACATAGCAAGAAGAAACTGGAAACGTGACGGTACTAAGTTTTCTTAAGATCAGTTCAGTAATTTTGGGAAGTTCATTAAGAACCAGATCAGTGTTGCCTACTCCGCTTACGTCCAATCGGTTGAGGATGCCATTGTCAATGATCCTAGCAAATTCTGCCCAGATCAAAAAATAGCAATCTAGAATCCCCCCAAGGATGACGCTTAACGGCAATGTCTGCGATACGCCTCAGGATATAGTGGACAGTTTTGCTACCTTCTTTTCAACAGTTTTTATCCCGTCTGGTCTACTAGGGTCATCTCCTCCAACAAATAATTCTACCGATATCATTTCTTTAAAAAATATAAGTGAAGAAAACGTAATTAGGGCTTCGAAAAGATTAAAGAACAAAATGACGTCTGGCTGTGATGGTATTCCAAGTTTTTTCGTTAAAGATTGCGTTCATATACTAGCGAAACCGCTGGCTTCCATATTCAACCTAATTCTAAAATCAGAGACATATTCAAATATCTGGAAGACCTCTAAAATATGTCCTATTCACAAAAGTGGAGATATCTCTGATATTTCCAACTATCGCCAAATAGCAATCCTGCAATTTCAGCAAGTTGTTTGAGATCATCACTTATGAAACGGTTTACTGCTCGGTCAGGGGTGCAGTCTCTATTAATCAGCATGGGTTTATGAGAGGCAGATCTACGGTCATCAACTTGGCTCTAATTACTCAGTATATTTCTGAAGTACTGGACGGTCAGGGACAAGTTGATGTCATCTACACAGATATTCAGAAGGCGTTTGATCAAGTTGATCATTATGCACTTCTGGATAAGCTTAAAACAGTGGGTATGTCTGATGCAATGCTGTCGCTCATGAATTCATATTTGTGGCATAGAAGGTTATTTGTCGAATATGGTGGTCATAGGTCGGGTTACTATCGGGCCACGTCTGGGGTACCTCAAGGGTCAAATCTAGGTCCATTATTGTTTCTAATATTTATTAATGACTTGTCTTTTGAACTGAAGTCTTTCCATTTGTTTTTCGCTGATGACCTTAAAATCTGCACGTCAGTCAAGACAGTCGAGGATTGCGTCAGGTTGCAAGATGACTTAGCTCTAATTTCGTCATGGTGTTCACGAAACTGTCTCAGTCTGAATGTTCCGAAATGTAAAGTTATGACTTATACAAGAAAGGTTAACTGTTTAATTTATGACAATTATAACATCAATGGTCAGGTTATAGACAGATGCACCTCTTATAGAGACCTTGGAGTCACTTTTGATACCAAGCTAACGTTTACTGAACATATACTCAATATCTCGTCGGCTGCCACTCGACTACTTGGTTTCTGTATCAGAAACTGGAAGGGTTCCTCCAATGTTGATACATTAATGACTTTATTTTTTACTTTTGTCAGGAGCAAGTTGGAGTATGCGACTCTGATCTGGTCTCCTATATACCAAAATTCTGTCGTGATCCTTGAGGCCATTCAACGTAAAGCTTTAAAGTATTTTCACCTTAAATGCACAGGTTCTTATCCAGAAAGAGGTTGTGACCATAGTGCCCTATTAGAGTTTTTCAATTTGGATTCACTGTCAACAAGACGAAACATATTTGCTTTGTCGTTTTTGTATGGCCTCATTCACAATAAAATTGTGTGTCAAAATTTACTTGAAAAAATACAGGTATGTTTCCGCGTTCCAAGGCTAGGGAGTCGACAACAAACGGCATTCTATTGTCAAGCTGGCCGTACAAATGTTATGACAAAATCGCCAATTAATCTCATGTGCTGCGTCATGAAAAGTGTTACTGAATCGTGTGATATTTACAGTGACAGTTGTGCATCGATTATTAACTGCTATAGATGATCCATTCTTATTTAGAACGTGTGATACTATAGATTTAAGTCCAAGAACCATGTCTCTTTAATTGTTATTTTTTTTTTCAGCATTTCCTGTAATTGGGTTTCACCTATTGGGAATAAATAAATAAATACCATTTTAATCAGAAAGCTCGGAATGTGTAACTTCGAATCAGCTTCTGGCAAGCTAATCGATTCGTATTTGCAACATAAAAAAAAATTGTAAAAATCGGAAATAAATTTAACACGGTGAAGCCCAGGGTTAGATGCTTGGGCCGTTTTTATTTATTTATACATCAATGATTTGCCGCCACAAAAATGGAAACTATATACTATTTGCTAATGATACTGCCATCTAAAAATATATCTGAGCTTGAAGTTGTAGGCTTTTGTAAATGATAAAAGGTGTCGGCATACATTTGCACACAACCTGAAAAGTAGAGGTATCATGCCCACAGTCAGGGATACCACCGTTGAAGTGAAGGTAGGGCTGAGTTGCCCCCAGGGAGGACCTGGAAGAAAGGCCGTTCTGTACATGTCAAAAGCTACTGTTGCACAGACGCACAGTGTGGCGCCCAATGGACAAAATTACTCAAAAACATAATTTTTGACATTAGAATTCTGTTGCTTTTATTATACCATTGGATAGAAAAATAGTCACTGCAACACGTAAGTATAGTACTTTAATCAAGTTGGCTGCGATTTACCTATTTTAGCAACTTTAAAGTTAGACATGTCGAGACCTGTCAAGAAGGCGAAAAATCTCTCTGTTTTATTGCTCGGGAAAGATATAAATTTTGTGTCGAAATATTTAAATATTTTAACTTTTCCAATATGGCTGGTAATGAGGCTGGTAAGTACATTATATTGATGTATAGATTTATTTAAAATATAATTATAATTAGATAATTTTTTAAGTTAAAGTGACTATTACCGATTTTTTTAATTTTTTTTTAAACTTTTGACTTTGTTTAGAGTTTAACAAAAATCACCTCCCATCACCCTAAGTTTAAATCACGTCATACCACGTCTAAGGGAAATATAATTTTTTTAGGACATGGTGCTATTGTCAGAAATAGAGATTTGATTGATGTGTGGATAGAAGCACTGAGAGGAAATAGAAAACAGGTGGTTTATGAAAAGATATTATCTCTTATTGATATAACAGATGAACCTTCCAAACATCTTAAAAGTAATATTATGAAATGCAGCCAGTTGTTTGGGTTGAAAATGGCAAATAAATGGCAGAAAGTAGGACAATCTCGGAATCGACTTTTACAAAATCAGGTATATTGGTTAGACAAGATTATATTTAGAATAAATAATGATTCTGAAGAAAACACATCTTCGGATGAGGAACAAGAACCTCCTTGTCGCTCAGTTGGACGGCCACGGGTGCCATTTGAAGAGACATCGAAGAAAACAAAACGAAGACGTGTAGCCGAACTAACCACAGACAGATCTGCAAATGAACTTCAATTTGCTGTAAATGTCGTTTCTGGAAGCAATCACAGTGAGGTCTCGCCACAAATTTTTAGTTTTAGTACAGCTGAAGCTTTAGCCCTTATGGTAGATTTGGATATATCCGTAAGAAAGTATTTGCTACTTAGGTCTGTTATTAATGGTAAGGCCCAGAACTGCCTTCCTAGTTATAAAGAATTACAGAAAACAAAAAATGCTATCCTCCCTTCACAATTTATTATTACTGAAATTTCTGCAGAAGTTGATTTGCAAGAACTTCTACAGAAAACAGCTGAAAGTATCCTTGAAATAATAAATTTTGAAGAGAGAGATTGCCGGATTAAAGTGAAATGCAAGTGGGGATTTGATGGCAGTTCTGGGCATAGCCAATATAAGCAGAAATTTTCTGATTTAGATAACACCGACGAATTTCTGTTTCTTGTAGCAATGATGCCACTCAGATTGATTGATATTGAAACGAATAAGGTATTGTGGAAAGATGAGAGCCCTTCATCTACTTTATATTGTAGGCCGATCAAGTTTTTATTTAAAAAGGAAAATGCTGATTTAGTGCGGAATACGGAAAAGGAAATAATAACAAAAATTGAAAATTTGATTCCTATTGAGATTAAAACAAAAGAAGGGCACTCTTATATAATTGAAGTTGATATGATATTAACAATGTTGGACGCCAGTGTTGGAAACGTTCTATCAGAGACAAATTCAACTATGAAGTGCATCATTTGCGGAGCCACACCCAAGGACATGAACACGTTAGCAGGGATTAACCGTCCTCCCAACGTAGACAATTACCGGTTTGGTTTGTCAACTTTACACTGCTGGATTCGTTTTTTTGAATGCTTACTCCATATTGGATACATATTAAATCTTGGCAGGTTCGTGGGCCTGAAAACAAAGCTATAGTCGAAGCAAACAAAAAATGAATCCAAGCAGAGTTCAGAGCCAAGCTGTCTCTAATAGTTGACAAACCAAAACCCGGGTATGGCTCCTCAAATGATGGCAATATGGCCAGAATTTTTTTCCACAATCCACAAACAAGTTCAGATATCACAGGGATTGACAGGGAATTAATCGAGAAATTTGCGATCATCTTAGGAGTGTTAGCTAGTGGTTGCGCTATTGATATGGAAAAGTTTGCGTCATTGCTGGAAGAAGCAAGAAATTTGTATATCCACCTTTATAAGTGGTACAACATGCCAAACACGGTACATAAGGTCCTTATTCATGGGTGTGCGATAATTGATGCATTTTGTTTGCCCATTGGAGAACTGTCGGAGGATGCGCTTGAGGCTCGCCATAAAGAGGTTAGGAAACATCGATTATCTCACACCAGAAAATGTTCAAGAACAGATATGAATAAGGATCTCATGCGTGTTCTTTTACTTACTTCTGATCCTTTTATATCCTCAAAAAGAAAGGTGAGCTCAAAAAAATATAAGAAATGCAACGAGGCAGTTCAGAACTATTTAAAAAATCAAGAAAATGATGATTTAGGTATTGACTTAGGTACAATAACGAATGACACAGCACCGAGCGAGAAATCCTATTCCGATTAGAATGGATATATTTGGTTTTTAATATAGTTTATATTATTATTTCATACATTACCTACTAAATAATTGTTATTTTGTTAAATATATTTTTTAAATAAAAACCTAAATGTCAATTTCAAATTATACAGATTTATTTTTTATTTGAATTATTCTTATTATTTTTTCAAATAGGTAGACAAATTTAATAAATCATATTGCGCCCGCCACAAGTTGGCTACATTATCTTTTAAATCATTCGGTAAAGATCTTGAAGAATAAAAGCGTGACTTTTTTGTCTCTCTTAAGAATGCTATAATAATATCCTACCTTATCCCAATTTATTCGAGATCATCAACTTAATATTTTGACTTTTACAAAAAAAAACGATTTATGCGAAATGCATCCCGCCTGCTCCCGCACCCCTTCTTATTATTTTAAATAGTTTTTGTCATAATTTAGAAAGCTACTTAAATAAGTAATCGCCCTGCGTTTACAGAATTCAAATAGGACCACTTGTTTTTAAGATATCGAATTTTGTCCCTGATCCCTATAAAGGAACACACTGTGAGACGGTTCGACGGTTTGAGCCGACAAGTGCAAAAAACGTGATCTCTAAAATCAAAATAATATAGCAACAACACTGCGGGCTGAAGTAACAGCTATACAGGTCTGCACGAAAGAGCTAATAAGGAAAGAGATTGTAAATCTTCCGATCTCCAGTCACCTCATTGAGCATTAAGTTCAGCGCATATCGTCTAAAGTAGTAGAAGACCCTGTGGACACTCTCCAAGACCAGAGAAACTGCAACGAGATAACGTTGCTCTGGGTAGGAAATGGTAGGAAATGAGAAAGCGGATGAACTAGGCGGCTAATCACCACAAAGCCTACAAAGGTACTCAGCAGTGTTATTCCATGTATAACAAGCGTAATAGATCGATTACTGTTAGAAAATTTCTATTACCTATCATTCTGAGCATAATTTATATTTTCCAATTTTTTCCTGATAGCTGGCGTCATCTGTGTACTGTAAGTACTGTTTCTTAGATCACACTTGGTTGTTTCCTTTTTATATGAGCCACATTTCACTTAAAATGTCAAACGATTGATTGACCGATATTTTTTTTTATTCTGCCCAATGTATACGAATTACGAAAGCATTTCTAGCTTAAAAAGGCTTTTTTCACAGCTCATGTTTGTCATCTCGTGTTTTATCATTGACAAAAGTGACAGGCTCGAAAAAACTCAACAAGTGCTTTTGTCTGTCAAATCGTAACAGGCATTCATCTTATTAGAATCTAAATGAAAAGCCCCTAAGCAATAAATGCAAGGTTTGAAATATGTGAAGAAAGCCCTCATTGAGCCAATAAATCAAATAAATGTCAATTATGAGGAAAATATGAGCGACATCTTTTGTGTTGGCTTAAAAATATGTCTCAAAATATTCTCTGTAGATCTGTTACGGTTTAGCTTGGGAGACTTTTATTACCAATGGCTATAAATCTATTATCCTTTAGGAGAGAAATCTATTACGACAGAGAGGATGCTCGGAACAATACCGGTACTAAATCTTTCTGTAGCGTGACGAGAGTTTGCGTAATGCAGTCCATAAGGGATTGGACTACGAATGGCCGAATGCCGACTTAGGGCAAAGACAGGCAAACGAATTTATCGAAGAACCAAAGCATACATTTACTGAACTGCTCAGACTCAGACTAACAAAAGAGGCAGTTTTACAGAGAGCAAGAGGAAATGCTAGTACATCTCTTGTGTTACTACGAAGGCCTGGCAAGCCTAACGTATCAGATATTCAGAATCACGAATCCACCAGAGGAAAACTACATTCAAAGCTCTGTGTCAAGTCTATGGAAAAGACGATCAAGGCGGGACTCAGCGGTTATGAAGGGTGACAATAGATCTAATCTGTATCATAAGCGATAATATCTGTTGCACATATAATATGTCATACACGTAATCTATTTGTCATCAGATGCAGACTGATAAGTGATTCAAGACTCATTGTCATCATTGCAAAGTCTGTTAAGAGATTCCAAAATATTTACAAAAAGTGTATATAGAAAATAAACATCAAAATCAGTTTAGCGGAACTAATTTCCAACGTCCACAGAGTGCGTGATTCATTGCGCTTTATCAATTTTTAAAATACTACATTAGGAACGTAACCTCTCCGTCTATGATTTTATAATGATGTCAATATGTAGTTAGTCTGGCGACTAGTAATAGAGCGAAGTATTATGGCGAAAGGTCAATCAATGAAATTAAACACAGCGTCGGTCAATGCCTCAATCATCATAACACTTGTTCTTGTTTTGGATATCAATGGGAAATAGGCCAATTGAATGGCTTCATTCTTGAAGCTGAAGTCAGATTACTGCGAAATATTTTGTAATTGATATTAATGCATATTAAGGTAGAGTGCAGTGGTAACTAATATCTATAAAAACTGTATATCATTAAAAAGTTACTTACTTTTGGAGGCAAATGTATGAATATATTTGATCAAAAACTAAGTTTAAAGTTTATCGAGAACAAATACTTCCAGGACATATAACTCTTTTGCCACCTGCAAACAAAATGTACACACTCCATCCCAAAACAAAGTTTTGACGCTAATTTTGACCATCACAGGACTACAAGTCGGACAAACACGTGACACTGAAATAAATTAGCATAAGTCCAAATCCTAAGAGTTTTCACACACACACATTTTCATGGTCGCTCTCTAGTATCTGACCAGCGAGAACATGCAAGCCGGAAGAATGTGTCCATATGTATCGGGATGCAATTTGGAATGTACCGAATGACCTGGCAAACCGAAACAAGGTAACGTCGTCCTGGCTACCAGGACACGAGAAGCGCAAAGTAAATGAGAAGGTAGATGAGCTAGCTTGAATAATTGCGGCAATGGCCACATGGCATACAAAGATCCTGAACAGCATCACAATCTTAATAAGTCCTATGAGCATAAGTTTTATTTTCCAGTTTTTTACGAATAGTTGGCGAGAAAACCAGGTTTTATAAAAATATTACTGAAGGCCTGAAAATCATTATTTACGCGACATACATAACTAATACAATTTTTTATCTTTATCTTCAAGCTGATGAGGTACAGACACTCCGGAAGCATTTTAACACTATGGTATAGGATTCGGCACCAGCCTTAATTTTATTGGTCAATTTCAATTTATTTAACCAATAACAAGCTGGGTGCCGAAATCACTACCGGAATGTTAAGCAGTGCTGAAAACTGTGTCAGAATGTTATCAATAAACTGCTTCTACTAATATATATATATATATATATATACTTTGAAGTTGAGTCATTAATTTTCAGATAATGATTGTAGGAGGAAGATAAACCAAAATATGTGTGTAAAAATAAAAAAAATTAAAAAAAAATTTTACCTTGTTTTATAAAGTATCCTCCCGACAAGTATTTCAGTGCGGACCTGTATTTGATCGTGAGGTCTTGGAGCACCGGCATGCAGTTCCCTGTGTGGTCTTAAGTCACCTGATTCACGAGCCCGTTGTACTACATTAACAAAGGCACGAGGGGTTGGTTGCACTCGATTGGGAAACCGATCCGCATAAACATGTGCCATTTTTTATTTCGTTTGAGCCACGCAACAGACACCAATATTCAAACGCGTTACCGATTGACACTGACTGTATACAACTGACTAAAATAATTGTAAAAACATCGTTCCAAATTCTTTCGCTTTTTTGTTTCCGATGCGATGAACCAAACACGAGCACATAATATTATTATTGAGACAGGGCGGTACTCAAACTTCCAAAGGGCTATAACTTTGTTACTTTAATTTTACCAGAAAAATGGTAAAGGAAAAAAACATTTCTTTTGATCAGATCTACTCACTGTTAAAATAAATGACTCAACTTCGAAGTCACCCTGTATATATATATGTATATATATAAATATAACTTGAGACGTGGTCATTGTCGTCTAGACCAGTTAGGTGAAAAATTAAAGCTTCCGCCTTTTGTTGGGTACTTCGACAAAATTTAAGCAAGGAGGACTCTTTATACTTTTTTTATTCTCTCTAGCTTTCAATGGTCATTGCCATCATCATCAGGAGAGTAGTATGTGAGGATGTTGTTAATTGTTGTTTACGTTAAGGACGAGGGAAACACCCAGTAACATGGTGAAAGCTGGATAAATGGTACAATGGTCAAAATTATATAAAATACACACAGCTGTATGACAAGAACAAGTTAAAAACAGATAAAAAAGTTTTTTAGAAATTGAAAGTTAAACATTACATCGTGAAGCCACTTGATGATTGCACATGCCCACCATTTTGTGTTGTCCCTCATGCTTAACGTAAACAACAATTAGCAACATCCTCACATACTACTCTCCTGATGATGATGGCAAAGACCATTGAAAGCTAGAGAGAATAAAAAAGTATAAAGAGTCCACCTTGCTTAAATTTTGTCGAAGTATCCAACAAAAGGCGGAAGCTTTAATTTTTCACATATATAAATATATATAAATTTTTCATGTAATTTTTCTTATTGCTAAACCAAATTATTAATTCTAAAATCATTAAATATCGTAATAGGAAACAACGCCCGTTGATTATTATCTTACGTATTTTTGGCGGAAGGTAAGTAAATTTAAATTTAAATTGATAACATTCTGACCCCATGCTCAGCACTGTTTAACATTCCGGTAGTGATTTCGGAACCCGGCTTGTTATTGGTTGAATAAATTAAAATTGACCAATAAAATTAAGGCTGGTGCCGAATCCTATACCTACCATAGTGTTAAAATGCACTCCGGAAGGGCTCAACAGTAGGAATATATTAACCATTCTTCAAAATATCAGCCACATTAGTAATTTGCACCGATTGGCGGACTTTACATGTGAGATGATTCTAAGGTTTAGATGTTATAGTGGAAGACACCCTTCGGTATGTCATAATTAAGACGTGATTTCTTGTTTATACTAGCCCCTTCCCACTTCAGTTGGCCCAACTATTGAGATCTTAGTTTTTTTCTTATCAAACACAAATAATAAAATGTAGCAGGGTGTTATAGGTTTAAAATATTAACAATGAATATTTTGATAATATATAGTAGGAAACACCAACTTTATCACTCCCTAATCAAATTTGCAGCATAAAAATAACACATATTGCAATTACAGCATATCAACTTATTTTCATTTCAATGCAGAATTAGTATATAACGCATAGGTGGCTGTGAAAAATAAAAGCCATGACAATTGTTTTTATTAATCACAGCTGTCAGAATACGTTTAAAATAGTTTTGGGTAGTTAAGGTTTTCAAAATGGGTAGAGCAAAGGTTATTAGTGAGAAATTTGGTAACTGATAATTAAATTTTTTATTTCTGGGAAATCAAACTCAGAAATTGCAACTTTGTTAGATTTATCGCGGTACAGAGTGAGAAATATTGCTAGAAGATATAACGTAACTGGTTCAGTTAATATTAAGCCACGATATATGAAAAAAAGTAATATCACAAATGCCGACCGAATGCTCTTCGGAGAGAAGAATAATCGTGAAAAACAGGCGTGCTAATTATTTACAATTAAGTGCTCTGTGGAGTGACCCTGTTGGAAGGAGAATTTCGAGGTCCACAACTCGTAGAGAGGCCCACAAACTGGGATTTAGCACTTGCAAGGTAAGTTTTCTTATAAAAAAGTAAAGTAAAAACCCTAAAGGTGCACAACTTGTTTATAGGTCAAAGAAAAGCCACTATTAACTCCACTGCAAAAGAAAAAATCGGCTTAGATGGGCTAAAGAAGATAGACAATGGACATCTCAACAATGGTGTGCAATACAATGGAGTGATGAGGTCCGATTCGAAGTTTACTTTGGTGACAGTCGCTGTAGAGTTATTCGCAAAAAAATGAAGCATTCCATGTTGACTGTCTGAAGATAAAAGTGAAATTTCCAGCATCCACTATGGTCTGGGGCCGTATGTCATCAAAAGGAGTAGGAAAACTTCATTTTATTGATGGAAATGTGGATACAAACAAATATTTGGCAATTCTAGAAGAATCGCTTTTACCAGTGATGGAAGAATGTTTGACATCCGGCCAAGATTTGGTGTTTCAGCAAGATGGTGCAGCATACCATACCTCGAAAAATGCTATAAAATGGATGGAAGAAAATAATGTACCACTTTTGAAATCGATTTCTAGCAGTCCAGATCTGTCACCTATTGAAACTTTGTGGCACGAGATGAAAAAGGTTCTACGACAACATCCTGCCCGTACAATCACCAAACTGAGAGAAAAGCTGCAAGAAATATGGGATTGTTTTACACCAAATTTTTGCCAAAACTTGGTTAACACTATGCCCCAAAGAATTTCAGCCGTAATAAAAAATAAAGGTGATGTTCTCCAATGGTAGTCTTTCCATTGTTGCTTTGTTAACTCCGCGCATTTATTCGCACATTGTTTATTTGTTCAGATGTTCTATTAGTTATAGATCTAAGTGATTTCAACTATGTATCTTTTACGACTAGAGTGTATCTAAAATGTTTTTGAGAAAATAGATTGTTTTAGAAGTAAATAGTTTCGTCATGTTTAGTTTATAAAGGCATATTTTGGTACAAATCTTGAAGTGGGCCAACTTCATATTTTCTCAGTACGGATAGTTTCCTAACAAAATATTTTTGATACACCCTCTATAATAAGGGTCTGAAATCATAACATTAAGTGTGATTGCTTATCCAAAAATGTATTTATGTACAATTTCGTTGAAGTGGGTCGTTTTTGAGAGAAACAGCCTTGTTTCGGTCGAGCTCTTATCCATTTACATTGCAGCTGATCCTTAAAAAGTTCGACAAAAGCCTAAGAGTTAGTTGACTGATCTGGAAATTAATATCCTTGGTCTTTTAGGGGCGCTGCTGGTTGTTCCTAATAATTTAAAACACCTTAAAGGTATTCACGTACATATGTGTCTTTCAAGGTTGAAATTACTGTTTGCTCCTTCATAAATCTATTCCGATTTCTACTATTTAGAGCAATTTTGATATCAAGACAAAATACTGACAAATGTTAATTTTTAATTTATCTATATTAGATAATTGTATTTACATAACACCTGCTTTACAAAAGAAAGTTAAATGAGTTATTTTGAATGTATGTTTGTAAGGTTATTTTTATATTTATAGTTAGTACGGAGTACAACCATAGGGTGGCGCTGCTGTTCGATTCTCTCGTCGTCCTTTTTGACAGTCCAATGTTCAATGCTTTGACGCTGATGTGTTTTTAATAGTTTTGTGCCAGTGATACTGATCTTGAGCGTTAAACTGAATTAAAATTTACAAACCTGATCTTTGTAATGGAGGCTTGTCGAAAGCTGGGATTTAAAAAGTGCGTGGTGCCTGGTTGTACTGATACAATCAGTAAAAGGTAGGGGAAGGTGTTGTACCTTGGACCCATTTTTGTAAATCGTGCTGTATTTTTTTTGGTTTTAAGTTTTCTGAACTGATTTTGCAGAAATAAGGAGGCTGTGGCATTAACTTATTAATTTATTTTATATTCGGACATGGAATATTAAACTAAAAACTCACAAGCACACTATTTAGTGAGTAATACAAACCGGTCCAAGGTACAAACTCGTCATGTACCTTGGTCCACAAACGATTGTACCTTGGTCCAAAAAAGGAAAGTAATGAGAGAAATAAAACTTATTTTAATATTCTACACACAATCATTCTAAAAATACTTTAGGCTTTAACTAACATTATAATTGTCAAAATTAACTTCAAAATATAATAGTGAGCTATGTCGAGCAGTCCCTTTTAGGGTTTTCGGTTGCGGTAGCTTACAAACTAAGTCGGTAGGACAAAAGTCGTATGTCTCTGCAGAATCATTCACAAATTTATCGGTGTTGTTAACTCGCCGCAGGTACCTAAGTTCATTTTCATCGCCTATGCTTATGATCTCACCAACATAGTATTTTATTGTTTTTTTCCCTGATACTTTTACCAGTACAAAATCACCTCTATGAAATTGATAGTCTTCATTTAACTGTTGCAAAGTACCAATTTCTAGCCATTCTCTATCTTCAGAGATAATGTCCTCCCAAGTTTCATGCTCTCCAGAAGATAATGAAGGAATTGACTCACTTTCGGAGGAATCAAGTGCTCTTTTTTTCACCGTGACTTTAACTTTCTGATCTTTCTTTGATAAATTTTTGGTAACATTTTTAATAGTCTTCAAATCGCGTTTTCGTTCTAATTCCTCTTTTTCTGGTGTATCCGTAAGAATACGCGACTTGCCTTTTGGACGACCACCAGTTCTCTTTCGCATAGGTGCTTTAGGGAATGGGCGCAATGTCTCAGGGGTGATGACTGACTGATCTTGTTCGGATGAAGTACAGGAAACTAAGAATGTATCTGAACTTGTAGATGGTAATCCATCCACACTTGCGGATGGTAATGCATCACTACTGGAATTAGATTTCTCAATTAACGGACGGTCTGTTACATAACTGGCTAAGAACTCGTGGTCTTGGAAAATGTTTTCGTCAAAAGGATAAAGACCTGCTACTTTGAATCCCTTTTGAATATTTAAAGGCGTAAAGGCCTGCGGGAATGCTTTACCAATTAGTTCCGCTACGTCATATATCGTGATTGGTTGAGCAGGGTGCATTAACATCCATTCACTACAAGCTTTGTTATAGTATGTTTTTAAGGGCCCAAACACTGTCCTGTCTAACGGTTGAAACTTGTGGCTTGTGTGGGGATGGAATGTCACTAACATAATTCCATTTGCTTTGCAAAAGTCAATCGTCGAGATGCTAATATGGCTATCATGGTTATCTAATAGAATAATTGTCGGTTTCTCGATATTCGGCTTGACGTGATTTGCAAAATGTTGCATAAACTTATAAAATAAATCTACATTCGACCAGCCTGATGGATTGGCTGCACCAATCGAGCCAACTGGGCCGCCCTTAAGCATATTGGCCTTGAAATGCACCCGCGGAAATATCAGCATTGGTGGGATCGCGTTTCCAAAGTGCATTTATGGCAGCAATTAAAGTAACGTTTTGGCCACGCTCACTACTTGTCATCTGTCCAACTTGTTTGACTCCTTTGGGACTAATAATTCTAGGCGGAACATGTACCGTTGTTATGCCGGTCTCATCAATGTTCCAGATATTTTCTGCAGAAAAAGTTCCTCTAGACAAAACACTTTTATAATTTGCAAAAAATGTCGTTACATTGACTCGATTAAATGCCGTGGATCTCGCTAAACTAGTCGATTCAGGTTTTCGGAGAGACAAATTTGGGTGCCGTTTCATAAATTGTCGTAACCATTCCTTTCCCGCCATTTTCTTCTCATTCCAGGTGTCAGGACACCGCTTCTCCTTTGCTGATGCATACTGGTAGGCTAATTTTCTTACTTCAACCTTGGTTAACCCATAATGAAGACGTGCAGCCGTGATTAAATAAGTTGTCAGTGCTTCCTCCTCATTTTTCGAAAATACTTGCTTCACATTGTTATTTGCGCTGTACGTAAATCTGTCCGCTCCTGAGTTTTTGAAGGAACGAATGTGTCTAATTAACGTGGTTTTTGATACTCCATATCGCCTTACTGCTTCCCGAAGGGCAATACCTTCATTCACGCATTCTTGTACAGCTCTTGTCAATTGTTCCGAATCAACTTTGTCACGCTTTTTTCCACTTTGACTTCGAGGCATTTTTGAGCAATCTGAAAAGAATTAAACATGGGTTTACGTTTAAAATAAAAAAGAACTATTTATTTACAAGCAATTTTATCGATACAAAAGTGTATTGTACCTTGGACCGGTCCAAGGTACAACTTTTGCACATGGTCCAAGGTACAATTTTTACAATAAAAATTGTTCTGGTTAAATAAACGAACAAAAATCAATGTATACAAAAACTATTCACACATATGCAAGGAGGAATGAAAGATGTACAAAAATAACATAAAACAATTTACTTACCCTTCAAAATAACACAGGTGATCAAAGATTATTATTTGATTAATATTTACTTTGACACTCAATAATATGCAAACGTGGTATAACTTAGAACAGCCCGCCTTCTTGTCAAATTACTTTGGGCGACATCTGTAGTGTAAAAGTATGTAACTCATCGGTGATATGGGTGAAAGAAAACTGTAAGAGGAAATAGGGGAATTCGAAGCGGTCCGAGGTACAATATGGTCCAAGGTACAACACTCTCCCCTATACATTTCCAAAATATGATGCCGCACTTTTCAATAAATAGATCGAGCGCGAAATCCAGTTTCGGACAATAAAAGTCACAAACAAATTTATAAAAGCCATTTGGTGTGTGACTTATATGTTTCGGAAAAAGATAAAGTGCCTGGAACCAAGAGAGGTCTGAAAAGACCAGCTTTTTCTAGATTACATCTTCCTGAACTTCAATCTTCAAGTAAATATTACCTTTGTTTACATATATAAATCGGATACATGCACTGGGTAATCAGTTAATAATCAGGATTAAATGATTCGAACATTTTGATGTCCTTAAAACTTTCACAGTATTTTTGTGAAGAATTTACCTAGCATTATAAACATAATGAAATTCAATTCTTTTTTCAGGTATGGTTTCGGGATAGTCCCGAAATTCATGAAGGGAGTAGAGAAATGGCTAATTGAAAATTTAATTGCTCATTTTTTATCAAGAAGACTGGTACTTTATACTTTTCATAGGTACGGCCACGTACAGAAAACACATGGACATCGCATATCTCCTGAACTATCGATGGCCTTATCTTATAAAGAGACAACAAGGGACTGTAACACTGATAAGGCATCTCTGATAACAGATTAGGTACTGTTCCAATTTTTTATTCACGCGATGGTACATCCGTAGCCGATTATTTTTAGATAACTAACAATTTGCATAACTGTTATTTGTATGTATTGTATTAAAAAAATACACATTTTAAAAATAAAATCATGTTGCGCCTTAGTTTACTTAAAATATCTAGCATATAATTTGAATATTTAATTCAAATTTAGCTCTACAATATAAGAGGGAAGTCCAAAGATGACGCTAGGTATTCTCTATTTTTAAAGGCTTCTATAGCAGTTCGTATAGGTTCTATAAAAAGTTCGGGGTATATCCCAGGGATGGCGCTACAAACTTAGTGACAAACCTTAGCATTACAGATTCCCTTATAAAGTAGGTGTTATGTGACACGTACAGCTACTACAGGTACAACAACTTGTCAACATTTTGTAGAAAAATCGTCACAAAAAACTTACGGAATAAAAAAAGCCGACGAAGATATGTAATACCCGTGCGTATCAGTTTAACGCATAGCTAGACAACACCGTATTATTTATTTATTTATTTACATGCGTATCTGATTGTTCCTTGTTTGCAGTAATCCAGTCTCTCATATGCTACCGACACCCCCATACATAGCCCTGCTTATACAAGTATATTTGAAATCTGGTGGTGGAGATAGCCAGATTAATAACCTCGAGCAAAAGTTGTTTTATAGTACGAATACATTATTTGATAAGCCTTGCATTGTTCATAAACGACTTTCACTTGTTTGACCCATTTCATTTCATACATATTATTGCTGGATTGCACGCAATGTCCTCACTATTACTAGCTTTGTAAATCGACATCGCATTTCCCTACCAAAAGTTGAAGTATTTATATCATATCCATTGACCAACATTCTTAACTACTTGCCCTTAAGTGTTCTTCCATGATTAAAAATAATAATAATTCTGGGGTATTCTAATATTATTTTCTCTGAGAGCTCTTCAGTGAAGATCATTATTAAATGAAATTTTTTCTATCAAGTAAGAGGGTTAAGACGTGACCATATCATTAATTTTTAACCAGTTCAGAACGGGATATTTCGCTGATACATGATCAAATTTATGTAAGCCAAAGATGAAACGAATACAATTGTTTTGAATAACTTGAATAACGCTTTTGGTGAAATTTTCTAAACAAGTATAGTATACGATATTACAATAATTTAGTATACATATGACCAATGCTTCACATAGTTTTTTACGCAACTTAAAGTTTAGTAAATACCTGTTTGCTATAAGAGTACGCAGCCGTAGGTATTTTTTCTGGGATTGACTTTTAACACCATGAATTTTTGCAGAATCAGAAAATTGTAAGATTTGGTTATTTATCTGAATGTTCAAGAGCTGTGCTACATTGTATGTTTTTCTTTGTGCGCAAAATAATAACATTTTAGATTTGTGTGGATTAACAAGTAGATTGTGATCTAATTTACTAACATCGTTTTGTAAAATTTGAGTAGTATTATTGACATTATCTGGGTTAAAATAACGGAGCAACTGCGGTCTGCAATGACTGGACATGAGAATTATGAATACAGACAGATAAGAATTAATTGAAACAGACAGTTAAGAAATTGAATGTAGGTAACTGGAGACCAAAAAAATGCCCTGTCATAGAAATATAGGGCTCTCCTTAAACTCAATTAATATGGAGAAAAATGTCCGCTGTGACAAGAAGGCACGAAGGTGCAGAATAATCGAGAATTTGTGTGCTAATAATCTGTGTTGATGATGATTCCATTGTATTCTTGCCTCAAATACACTTACTTGAGATGTATGCAATGCTGAAAATTAGTTGCGCATCCTAGTTGTTCCGACTGTCATTTATGGCGGATATCTTTCAAAAATTGAACGAATTAAATTTGACATTACAAGATAAACAGACAGCAGTGCTTGCTTGTAGCAAAATCACTGCCTTCAAAGAGAAATTGGACTTCTGGATTATCTGCGTTGGTAAGAGAGAAATAGAAAGCTTCACGTCACTCACTGAGTTTGTTAGCGATTGCAACTCAGATCTATTTCAAGATGATGCATTCGAGGAATTAGTCCAGTATCTCACTGCATTGCGCGCATCTTTTGAGACTTATTTTCCCAAGGAACAGAGTGCAAAAATGAAAATAAACCCATGGATTCAAAATCCTTTTTTTGCCTAACATGCAAAAGCCTGAAAATAAGTCAAACGAGATATATGAGTCGTTTTTAGAAATGTCATCGGATTCAAGTATGGAGTCACTGTTTAACACGACGTCTCTCAACGATTCTTGGTGCAAAATCGGCCATGAATACTCAATACTTTCCAAAATGGCCCTGAATGTTATTCTCCCGTTTCCAACAACATACTTGTGCGAAATAGGATTTTCAACCTATGCAGCTACAAAAACAAATGCGGCAATAGACTGGACACCGAACCTGACATGAGACTTCAACTCTCTCCCATCCAACCCGACATCAACCAGTTGATGGAAAAAAAGAAACAGTTTCATACCTCGCATTAGATTTTTAACTTTTTTCTTAAATGTTTTTTGTCTACTTACCTAATAGGACTAATAAGTAACCTTACTATTGTATTATGCCTATTCATGTTACGACTATAAATAAAGGATGCACATAAAGGTATCGGTTTTATTCAAGGGTTCTGCGAAGTATTTCGTTTCCAAAAAGGGTTCCATCATCCAAAAAGTTTGAGAACCGCTGCCCTAGAGATTCTATGTCTATGGTTGTCGTTTAGAATAGTTGTAACTACTCCTACAGAAGGTAAATAGAGCAAAGAAACAAATGGGATAAATGTGGTGAATAAGAGAGGTTTTACGCATCAGGATGTAGTTTTGATATTGAAAGCTGGTGGGCTTGAGGATTCTTGTGAATACGGTGAAGTTATTGAGGAAGCAGGGCCAATGCAAAGGCACACGAGCTCACAAGGATACATTGTTGAAGTTGTCAAGAACCATACGAATGAGTTGAGGAGCAGACAATTCTAAACGTATTTTTTCAGATTCTGAGATATAGATGGCGTTGCAATCTATTTTGCCCGTTTAACAATTTCCATAACACACAGACAATCTAACTACATTTTGTTCCACTTCAATTTAACATTCAATAAAACTTAGACAAACTAAGTGTATTTTGTCCAAACTAATCATATTTTCGAGGACAAAACACTGTTTGTTCGTCTTTACGGTATGTTTACGTTCATTTTAAAGTCAGTGTGCTAGTATTCGCGAAAGGCTAGCGTGGCGTTGTTGTTGGCGAACTATTGAAATACTTTTGAATTAAATAGCTCAGTGAAAATGAACGAATCAGAGTATGTTGTGGGTGATGTAGACAGAGATACCAGAAAAAGAAAGAAAAACATAACCAATAAACCACGTCGAACAGAGATAAGGTAATTAAAAAAATATATTTCAGCGTGGTGAGATACATAGTTGTTTTTGTCATCAGGTATTCGGATCCTGATCTAGAATTACTAAATTTTGAGTGCCAACATAAGACCGAAAAATTTAAATGCAAGGAACTATCGTAGCTTGATGTAAAATCTTTAAAACATAATTTTTACTCAGAATAATAAAAATGCACAAGATGAAAAATTAGCCAAAATGATGGAAGTTACAAATATCAAGAGAAAAAGAGGCAGAAAAATTGGGAAATCCCATGATTTTCACATAGAACATTATATAAGTGTAAACTGTCAAATAATTTTGCAATGGCACGTAAAAATGTATTTTTTTTAGGTTTGAAATACGAACAAGAGGGTTCCTGTATGTCAAAACTATACTAAGTGACATATAAATCCGAACACCCAGTTTAAATGGTTTTATTTTAATAAAAGTTGGTGAATGTATTTATCTTACTGTAGGTAACAAGTGAAAAAATTTTCAGCCTTATCAGTTGGACATTCCGGTTTTTATACTGCTTTTTTTTAATTCACTAACGCTCTAAAAATGAATATTTCAGCCGCAGTAAAGAATCAACGTTGGCGGATTTTGGTTCTTGACATCCTTTACGATCGGTTGCGATGCCTAGAGTACGGAGACCTGTACGATTTCGTCAACTTAGTGAGTTTGATAGGGGCCGTATAGTAGGACTTCGGGAAGCTGGACTTTCTTTTCGGGCAATTGCAGTTAGAGTGCAAAGAAGTGCAGACACTGTGGTTAGGTGTTGTCAGGCATGGCTTTGAGAAGGCTGTACGCAAAGAGCAAGGGGCACAGAACGCCGCCGTAGAACAACAGACCGTGAAGATCGCCGCCTAAGATTATTGGCCTTAAGGGACCGTTTCTCCACTACCAGGTCCACTGCAAATGAATGGTTTGCAGAACACGGAAGACCTATTGGCATGCGAAGTGTTTACCTACGAATGATAAGTTTTGGCTT